ATGTTACCTTATTAACATTTTTTGGTTTATTTTTAGGTTTGGTTTAATTTTTTTTAACCTTTTTTGGGAGAATTGCGATTTGAACTTTTTTTATTTTACGTAGTTTCTTTGCTGAACAAGTATATTTATTATTTGCAGCTTTTTTGTGCTGCCAGCAAGGTTATTTATATTAATAGACACGTTTTGGCTTGCTTTTAAATTTAAAACTATTAGCAGTCTTAAAAAGAGAGACAATTAACTTTTACCAGAGTTCTGATTATTTTTTACTTTTAAGTCCTGCTTTCACACACAGCAATCTGAAAATGGAAACTATAACCCTTCATTAGCCTTATTCATTTTTACATAAGGTATCATTTTTAAATGCTCACAGTTTTCATGTACTTTGATTAAAGTGACAGTCTGATTACTTAGAGCCACTTTAAGGCTTAATGTTTTTAACATTGTCTATTTTTTATTTTTAGCTTTTATTTGCTACTGTTACCAAAAACCACAAATCCAGAAATCCTCTCCTGGCTCTGGCTGCCTTTTGTACCAGCCACAACATGGTCTATAACAAAATATTGAACTTTCTAAAGCATTGAAATACCTTAAGGGTTAAATGCTAGACACCAAAATCAAACAACACTAGTTTTCTGTGTCTAGGAAACTGTCTTTTCAGTTTTGCAACTATGAATGAAATGGCCTAGTTGACAACAAAACCAAACCAATTTATTCAAAGCCTACAAAACAGAATTTTAGAAAACTGCAAAACAGTCTGTTGGGTAGGTCCTAAAAACCTCACATTTACACAATGTGCAAGGCTCGACAAACAATACAATCTACTTGCCCATGGCTCTTGCGCATGTGCAGTATGGGGCTGGCAAGCGATTTTCACTGTCGTTCGTCAAGCCCCGACAATGTGTATCTATTCACACACAAATACGTATATATTCTTTTCTTAAAATTTCTTTGTACACTGTTTTAATTATTTCTGCATAGCTCTACAAAAATTACATTCCCTTTTATACCTTTGGGGTAATTACGTTCCAATAGAAACCCCTTATATTCTTTTGGAAAATCCGACTAAAGTATTTATAGTCAAATTATAGTCACTTTGAAGTAGGAATAAGAGCCTCCGGAAAAGGGCGCTTTTTCCGGAGGATCGGGGCCAGTGTAGACGCTCTTTTCCGGCTTTTTTAAAAGCCGGAAAAAAGCGGCGGACATTTTTATTTAAATGCCGCGGGGGATATTTAAATCCCCCGCGGATTTCCCTACGACGACTCATGAAATTTACATGCCCCTTCCGGAAGAGGGGCCAGTGTAGACGTAGCCCTCTAGTTCACAGATCTCACAGACCTTGATATGAAGGATGCCTATTTTTGTACTGGCATTCATTGTGCCTATTGCACGTTTCTTCACTTTGTCATGGGCGATTCTCATTATCGCTACCAGGTCCTCCCCTTTGGTATTGCTATTGCACCCTGGGTATTTACCAAGGGTTTCATCACTGTTACAGTCTACGTACTCTGTTTGGGTCATTCCCTTTTCTCTAGATTAATGACTGACTCTTTTGTTGTGCTCTCCCGCACTCTGCGATCCACACTACAGACATTGCTGGCCAACCCTGGAGTGTGCATCAGTGAGGAAAAGTTGGTCCTTACCCCTACTTGCAGACTCATCTTAACGGTAGTATGTCTTGACTCTATAGTGATGTGCACCTTATTGCCACTGGAATGCTTTACCACAATCGCCTTTCTCATCATTAACTGCCGCCCTTTGTGTGCCTCCATTAGCATTTCCAATAGGATTAAACAAAATCATCTTTTTTAACTAAAAAAACCCAACAACTTTTAAGCCCAAGGAAATATAAACTTAACTTTAACCTTTCCTAACCAACTTTCTTTTAATCAGAACCTTGCAATTACATTTAAACTTTATATTTCTGGTACCCAATTGTGCTGGATTCTATCAAGGCTCATGCATCTTTAAAATAATTAACTACATTGCAGTTGCAGGGGCCAGACCTGCGTGATGGATGGCATCTTACCGCTGGGGCTGGAGCCACGAGGTGTACTGGTAGTTTGAATTAGAGATCCTAATTCGAACTACCTACTCCGTGCCGCGTGCACGGAATTCAGACTAAGGGACATTTAAAAATGGTGGCGCCCGGGAAGATGCAAATGAAGCCCAGGATATTTAAAGCCCGGAATTTAAATATCCTGGGCTTCATTTGTAACTTCGAATGCCTACATTAGCCCCCTAGTTCGAACTAGGGGGCTAGTGTAGACATACCCTCTGGGAGTACAGAAGTCTGCCGTTTGCTCCATCGAGTCCAGCTGAGGTGCAGGAAGATGAGTGTAAGAAAATTTTATCTAATGAGCCCCAGTATCCCCATTACATGTGCCAATCACAGGCAGGCCTGCTGACAGCAATTCTGGATCCAGGGCAGAGCAGTCAATGGGCCATCACTCTCTCTCTCTCTCTCTCACTCGGAAGTGATCCATGTGACACTTGGGCGGGCTGGCTGGTGTTGGGCTCGCTCTTCTGGCACAGACAGGGCTTCCACATGCTCACCTGATAAGAGTTGCCCACTGTCTAATTGGGAAAATCCAAAGACCCCTGTTCTATCCCTTCTCTGAGACCTCCATTCACTCCATCCTCCTTCCCCTTCGTTATTGCTCTCCCACACCCTTACTAAGGATGTTAAATATTGGTTAATTTACTAGTCGAGTAGTCAATGGAATTTCCATCGACTACTCAGCTAGTCAACAGGCACTTCTGCATTTCTCTTTTGAAATGTACAAGAGCCCCAGTGTGCATTTCAAACTGGCAGCGCAGCATGGAGCCCTGGATCAGCAGGGGACTCAGAGTTCCCCAGTGACCCCAGGCTCCATGCTGCGCTGCTGATTTGAAATGCCAAGTGGTGCTGGGCAAGTTACAGTCTGTATGGGTTGCTCATCATTGGCATGTTGTCTCAACTGCTCTACTTACTTAGTCAGCCTCATGATCCACCCGCAAACCAGGGCTTTGTCTCCAGCCCCTAGCCAGGGGGAGTCTTGGCTGGCCCTCTTCCAGCTGTTGCTGGCTATCCCCAGCTTGTCTCCCTCCAAGGAGCTCCTGCTTCCTCTGCAGTCAGCTCTCCACTGGCCCTCCTCTAAGCAAACTGTGCTTCCCTATTTATAGCTGGCAGCTGGGCTCTCACTCGCCCTAATGGCTTCAACCGGGCTTTTCTGTGTAGCTGACAGCTGGGCTCTCGTTAGCCCAACAGCTTCAGCTGGTCCCTCTATTCCCACCCTGGCTCAGGGCCTGGGTCCTGGTCTTAAAGGGGCCAGTGCAGGGCAGGCGCCCTGTCACACCTGGTCACTCCAATTCCCTCCACCAGTGAGGGTGGGGCCTGACCTCAACTGATGGTATCAGACTCCTCCTCCCCCCACTAATCCCATGGGCTGCCCTAAGCCCCATTGGGTCCCATCAAGCACAGAACCTGGGACTTTTGCCCAAAATCATCCAATGGACAGGATGGGTGAACACTGGCTACAGGCTCCTTGTCCCCTCCCCCATGGTATTGGGGACGACATGTGACCCTTTGTGCCCCCCATGCATCATCCCTAGCAGGAGACCTCCAGCATATGTCACAAATGGAAGTCTCCCATGATCACGGTTTTTCCCTATACATTATAGATTGGTGTGTACAAAGTCAGCCATCTTGGTCTCTAAGGCAATATGGGGTTTGTAGCAAACATTATGTAGTGCCCCATCATGGGCTTTATCTGTTAGGACAGCAGTTTGCAGCTGGGGGACCATGAGGAGATTTTAGAGGGCTGCCAAAATGAATCAGAGTCGGGTTGGCCTTCAACTCATTGGGGCCCAGGGCACAAAGGTGCATCCTGAGCCCCGCTGCTGAGGGCTGAAGCTGAAGCCTGAGCAACTGAGCTCTGTGTAGCCTCCTGTGGCATGAGGCCCGGGGCAACTGCTTTGCTTGCTACCTCTTACCACTGGCCCTGGCTTTGAATCTACAGACACCCAGATGTCTGTGGCATGGGGGGCATGGGACTTCTATAGCAGGTTATGGGTGCTTGAGAGGACAAAGACTGAGAACCCCTGGACTAGAAAACTGACAGAACCAAGAGTATTTTCTTCTGAGTTATCAGAGACTTGGAAATGTATCGTGCTGGACACAAGAGATCCACCTCTTCCACTTAGCCCTTCCTAATGGATTATACCATTGCTTTTAAAGTTTCAACTGTATTAATCATCTCACCAAGTATGAGTAATACAACCAGATAAAATTTATGCTAATAAATGAGCAATTACAATTTTACTTGTTTGTTTCCTAGGCTCCTTACATTACTGTACAGGCAATTCAAGGTATCTTTTGGTTCCTTGGATAATTTTGTTTTCAACATTTCAATTGTGCGCTGAGTGCTCCTATATTCCCTCATTTTACTCACCCAGATTCTCACATACCGGCTCTCTCATTACCGGCTGTTATATTTCATCCACTGACACCTGTAATAAGCCCAATAACTTGTGTTCAACTAAAGCACGTCTTCCAGAAAGGCACCCAGCCTTGATCTGAAGACATGAAGATGGAGAATCCATCACTTCTCTTGGCAGTTTGTTCCCATGAAATGAGCTGGGTGAAGGGAGGTTGTTGCAGATCAGTTCCTAGAAGGCCACTGTCGCTATTTAGAACCTCCTATCATTACTGGTATCTTTGTTTGCAGTCTTAGCCCTGAAAAAGAGCTGTCAAAGATTTGGTTGGCCACTGAAACTCCATTCTCTTCCTCCTAGGCAAGGTCCCTTCAGAGCAGTGCTGAGGGATGTTGGCTGGAGGTCAAATAGAGCAAGCTTGCACAGCCACTTCTGTGGATCAATAGAAAATTTTGGTCTTTAGCTGCAAGGACTGTAAATCCAAAACCTTTCACCAGCATTAAATCAAAGGCCCACAGGTACTCAAAATGTGATAATTGTGAGAGCCAATCAACACCAAGACTCAACCAGCTCCAACAATACTTTACCTTCCGCTGAGGAAGAAAGGAATTCAGGCATATCATGAACTGTAGGTGTCTGAGGAGAACTGTTTGAACTGGTCCCCTTGGAACTGCTATTGGATGATCCACTTACTGCTGCAGTAGCTTTAAAATAAATATCAGACTGAAATGACAAAGAATACAATAGCTTCAGAGGGGTAGCCGAGTTAGTCTGTAACAGGAAAAACTTAAAAAAACAACAAATGGTCTGGTAGCACTTTAAAAACTAACTAAACATGTAGACGGTATCATTCGCTTTCTTGGGCCCAGCCTACTTCTTCAGATGACCGGTCATCTGAAGAAGCAGGCTGGGCCCATGAAAGCTCATGATACCATCTACATGTTTTGTTAGTCTTTAAAGAATACAATGTTAGCACTGCAGAACTCCCCAGCTTGTCATTGAGACTGTGCCCAAAGTGTTGTCTTTTACATGGGGGCAGCCACCTTACCAAAGGAAAGGCCTTGAAACTATCTGGCCCTGGCCCTGGGAGGCTCACCCTAGAGTGTAAAACCCCTCTGGTGGAATTCGCTTGGCAGCACAGATAGCTCCTACAGGATCTTGCAGTTAAGAGAAGGTGGTATTGCTTGGGCTTTCCAGAGGGTTGTCAGCTCCTGACCTGGCCTCTTGGCTCTGTTTGCAAAACGTGCACATTAGAGTAGCTTGAAGAATAAAGGTGACCAACCCAGAAGGCTCCAGGAACGAGCCTGGAAAGATCAAAAACAGCACCAAGCTATACTTGCACACTCCTGCCCTCCCAGCGACGCTGTGTGCTCCTCAAATCCAACTGAGGAACTGGACCAGAGTGCAAGGGTTTGGCTCAATAACCAACTTGTGTTTATAGAAAGTTAGACAATGTAACCTAGTGTCACTGCTCCTCATTACAAATAGACAATTCTCCCTCCTTTCTCCAGGTACATATAGAAGGACTAAGCCAGGAGTGGGCAAGATCAGGCCCACAGGCTGCATCTGGCCTGCCAAGCATTTCTCGCCAGCCTGCCCAGCTGATTAGTATAACATGCATGCTTACAGTTGGCAGCTTGTGTTCAGCTGCCCTTCCCCCAACCTTGCTCCATCCTGCAGCCAAACTGCTCCCAGGACCCTCCTCCTAACTGTGCAGAGTGTTGGAGTCAGAGTATCTCTCTACCCCTGTACCCCATTTCTGCAAAGCAGGGGTTGGGGAGAGGGACACACACAGCGGAGCTGCTCCATGGTAAATGACTCAGAGGAGTGCCTATCTTAGGAGGCAATACACTGTTTCTAAGTTTTCAGTGCTCATGCTCTCTCACATACACACACACTTCCTCCCACCCCAAACCACATCTCTGCAGAGCAGGAAGAAGGGAGACTATAGGGCAGCTTTCCCTGTCTTAAAGAGACAGCACATGGCTTCTTTCAGAAACCCAGTAGCAGCGAGTGCACACATGCACTCTGAGTCACTGTCACACACCCAGTCTGTGCCACACTGTCTCTGTGCCACACGTACACAGTCACTGTCACACATGCACTGCCACACACACACACTCAATCTCTGTGCCATACACACTCATTCTGTCACAAAGTCTGTCACACACACACACACACACACACACACACACACGTCTCTCTCACACACTCATTCTCTCTGTAGCCCACTGCCCCACTCCTTCTCCCCAATAAGGTTGCCAGATGGTTTAATCAAAAATACCAAACACTCCTTCCCCCCCCCCCCAAATAAAAACAAAGGGGAAAAAATTCTGTTGAGAAAAAAAAAAAGGGGGAGACCAAAGTTGTTGAGGAAAAAAAAAGGACCCCAACAACAGTTACTAAGCAAAGAAAAAATAAAATAAAAAAATGAAAAATCAGCATAGCTCCTTTAAGAGAAGGCTTTTTTTGCCAATGGCCATTTTGTTTTTCTGTCAGCCACAAGACAAGCCCCTGTGGAACCAGGTATAGTTTTGCAGTAGAGAGGAAGGGGGAGGGGGAAGAAGGGAGGCATCCGGGGCTGGGCCCGGTTGCTGAGTGTATTGTAGGGTTGCCGAGTGTATTGTAGGGTTGCCAGGCGTCTGGTATTTTCGCCTCCTGGCAGGGAAAAAAAAAAATCAGAAAATACCAGACATTTTAGGTGTCCGGTATTTTCTGATTTTTTTTTTTTTTTTTACCAGACAGGAGGTGAAAATACCGGACTGTCCAGGTCAATACCGGACACCTGGCATCCCTACTCCCCAATGCCTCGCCCCTTCCAGGGGGCCCAGAGCCAGCCCATGATTACACACCAAAATTCATGAAATGGCCTCCCCTGCAAAAATTATTGCCCACCACAGAACTCACAGAGACAGATTCATCCCTGAATTACCCAAGTGTGAAGTCAGCCTATCTGCACTTACTCCCTGCACTCACAGATGGTGACCCTTGCTTGTGTTCAGCCAGAGGCATGTCAGTGGGAAAGAGAGAAGATTATTCCTAATAATGTAAAATGAAAAAAAAATGGGAAAGAAATTAGAGAAGGAGCATATCTGAGTGAGCCATGGTCATATAAACAAGAGTGCTACACCTGGGTTTGAGACCTGTAGTCAGTAAGTAATATGCATAGTCACTACAGCCAATGAAATATGCAGTCCTGTCATGCAGCTATATACACTGTTTCCAATTACATATCTTATCTGGCCTCTAGCGTCATCATACAGGGTCAGGTACTTGTATGGTTTTAACCGACTGTTCTGAAGGTGCCTGTTTCCCTTCTGTGCTTGTACACTCAATGCCTGTATTACTAGGTGCTACACATACACCCTGCAAGGAGATCTCACACTGGGGCCCCAGGGCTTACCGTTGAAGCAACAAGTTGCAGCTCAGGCACCACAGCTGTGTGGACTAGGTTCCCATTCACCACTAACCGGATCTCGATGGAATCAGTCGTGAAGGCCAGGATATAAGGGAAAGCACACACTGCAAGGGAACAATGGCTGCTATCACGGAGAATGATTACAACCATATATTTGTATCAAATGTTTTACATAAGTACCTAGAACTTTAAAAAGATTCTAGAGCTTTTCTGAAAATCTGACCTTCTCTAGCACCTCCCCTCTCTAGAGCATTTTAGAAGTTTTTAATCGGCCTTTAAAACGCTGATGAACATCCAGCGACATAAAGCCCTGTGTGACTGCCTGACTCTTCATGCTTAGTTGAGGGAATCTCTCAAATGGAGCAGGAGGAAATGAACGGGCTGATGGAGAACAAGAAAAAGAAGCCAGTGATTTCAGAATTTTGTTTCTGCATGGGGAAGAATCTGGCAAAGGCTTCTTGCTTTTCTAAATTATCAAACACAAAAATCTAGGTTAACTGGCACAGTCCTAGAACTGAGTGTGATATGGCTGCGTATCACCTGCTGCAGCTCCCGTAAGGGCCAAGAACAATTCCACAACAAATGAAAATGCTAAACCATCCTGCTAGATTACTACAGTTTTTCCTTACCAATAGCATAAGGAACCTGGTTCCAACTAAAGTGGAAATCTGATGTTGATGTCTGGACCAAAGGAGAACCCCCATTATATGGGCAAACTTTTCTGTAGTAGCAGACATCTGTAACACAGAAAATGACATAGACATTAAATAACATGGCTTAGAAAATTGGATTATAGTTTATTGTCCAGCTGTTAAAACTATAAGAACATGAATTTACTGACTATAATTTTTAAAGGGAGAGAAACAGGGTAATATAGAATATATACTATATTGTGTCTCATCTGAGGTAAAATCTGATTTTAAGTGTCTATTTAAGCCTATAAGTCATTGTACAATTTTAAGAATTGTACTGTTAGTATTTTATGTGTTCGCTTTTTCCCCCGATTCTCCATTTCTTGTCAATGGCAAAGTGTCTGCCAGCCCGCAGGAAACACCCTTTGGGCAGTCATACATTAATCCCGTTCATACCCCCGAAAGACTGAAATATATGAAGAGGGGAAATTTCCATATCAGGCTTGGGGGATATTAAACACAGAAGTTTTAATATGTTTTTAATAGTACCTATTTCAAATCATAAAATTGGTACATTTCCCATATTCAAAAGCAAAAAGGTAAGAATAAACTGGACTCCACTGACTGTCTAGTAAGAGAGACAGGACTCCACTGACTGGCTTTCTTTTATCTGGATTCATTGATTACTCAAAGAATATTATTGCAGTGATTATCCAGTGTGACTTATGAATCACCATCTATTTCCCTAGTTGTAGGATTTCTTTCACTTATGAACTATAAAAATCAAGATTAAAGTTATCTGTATGTCTACAAAGTCAAGCTGAAATCATGGAAGTCCCTACCTATCTTCGAGTAGTACACACAACAGAGATTCTAGTAAAGCTAAAAACCAACGTCTAAATCCCAGCTCTTTTTATTTACTCCATTTATCTGGACTGAACTCTTAAATTTTGTCTAAAAGGGTGCCATTACTCCCTCACATGTCTAGCCTCTTGTATCAAGAAGTACTCATCTAGACTCCATTATTACAATGTTTGAGCACCTCCCAAATTTTGATGTATTTATCCACACAACATTGCTGTGCAGTCAGGGAATGCTAGGACATTTATTACAGGAGGTTAACTGGGCATACAGACTAAGCATTTCTGCATTCAGTGTTGCAGTGCCTATCTAATTTAGGATCCTAGGTTTTATTTTCCAAAGGAATTTTGGTAGTTATGAGACTACATTTCATTGACTGTCAACAGGATTAGGCTCACAGGTGCCTAAACACCATCTGAAAATGAGTCATAGGCACCTAAATCACTGGGCATTGCAGTGCTGAGTACAGAAATGCCTACATACTTTTAAAAAGTTGGGACCTAATTGTCCTGCCCAGGGTTACACAGGAAGTCTATGGTGGAGCAAGGAACTGAATCCAAGCCTCAGTCTAGAGTCCTAATCATCGGATGGTTCATTAAAGATCAGGCACTCTGGCAATGGGGTCAAATAAGACAGAGAGGCAATTATAAAATAGGGGATGCCTAAGAGCTGATATTTTACTGAGTAACAGGAAGTTTTCAAAAGTTGGGGAATGTCATTTGTACACTTGAAAATAGAAGCAAGGAACTAATGTTTCTAAATTCTGCACAGCTTCTTAGAAAACAATAATGTAAGTTATACTGAAAAACTGTTAACTTAGCAGTTATATCATCTCTCAATATGTAGATACTTATCCTACTAACAGGCAACATTGATACAAGCAGACATGATATATTAATGTTTTAAAATTTCCTTTGCTATTGCCTAGGTCAAATAAAACAACACTTACAGTTATAACATAACAGTAGACCAGCGTCACCATCTTCATATACATCAATAGCTGCAACAAAATTAACCTGCAATGATAATGGGTAAGGGTAGTGGGCAGACTGGATACTGAAGTTATTATAAACTATCGATGAGAAAAATGCAACACTTAGTCCCAGAGTCAAATAAAATGCACTCCTGCATATCAGAACCAATTTTTTCTTTTAAAGTGCAGCCTTCCATAGCTATTTTTTTTTCATTTGGCATTCATTGTAAAACCACTGTAAATCTTAGCAAAGGATTCAATTAGTTTTCCAATCAATATTGTCTATAGTAACATCATAACGTAGTAATGGAACTACTTGGAAACACAAATGTTCAGAAGAGGAAAGACACTTGCCCTTCGTAACTGGAGTTCTTTGAGATGTGTAGTTCCTACCTGTATTGCACTGTGCACAAATGTGGTCAGACTGCAGTTCCAGTAAGCAGTGTCTGTCTGCGCCTACGTCATTCCCCTCACATTCCATTCTGCTGGCATGAAGGAGGATGTGGACTGACACCTCTTCAGCTCCTCTTTCTGCAGATCAGGGAGGATCCGAAGTAGAGGGGAATGAGGACAGGTAATGCAATACAGATAGGAGGGACACATCTTGAAGAACTCCAGTTACAAAGACTATGCATATTTCCTTGTTTCTTTGAGTGATGGTCCCTGTGTGTATTCCACTTTGAGTGATTGAGAATCAGCAGTACGCAGAGAAAAGGAGTGTGGGAGGATGTAGCTGCTATAGTTACTTGGAGAATTGCTATCCCAAGTAGCTATAGCAAGGATGTGTCAAAGGAGGAGACTTGAACTAAGGCAGAATATCTCATGAATATGTGGTTGGAACTCTACATCACGCCTTGCTAAGGTCTAGCGGTGGTACTTGTAGGAGTGATGGGATTGCGGCTGCCTGTGCTCTCATAAAATGAGCCTGTACCCTGTGTATAATAAGATTGAAGATGGCAAAGTAGGGTGCAGCCAGAGATTCACAGTAGGATCCTTTGGGAGGAAACAATTTGTCCTTGGACTCATTCCATGGTGCCCAGAAGCAGCCTGGGTTACTATGATTTGTTCTGTTCTTTGTAGACTACAGCTTGTCACATGTCCAGGAAAGAACAATCACTTACCTCGTAACTGTTGTTCTTCAAGATGTGTTGCTCATGTCCATTTCACATAGGTATGTGCGTGCAGCGTGCACGTGTCGTTGGAAATTTTTCCCTTAGCAGTACCTGTTGGGCCAGCAGGGGAGCCCCCTGGAGTGGAGCCGGTATACTGGCCAATATATACCCCTACTGGCCCTTCACCCCCTCAGTTCCTTCTTACTGGACTACTTTGAAGAAGGGGAGGCGGGCGGAATTTGGAATGGACATGAGCAACACATCTTGAAGAACAGTTACGAGGTAAGTAACCGTTCTTTCTTCTTCGAGTGATTGCTCATGTCCATTCCTTGTAGATGACTCCAAAGCAGAAACCCCAGGAGGCGAGGGTCAGAGTTTTAACCTTCCACTGACTGGAGGACAGCCCTACCCAGGGCAGCATCCTCCCTTGCCTGATGTATCAGTGCATAATGGTTAGTGAAGGTGTGGACAGAGGACCACATGGCAGCCCTGCAGATGTCCAGGATAAGGACATGAGCCACAAAAGCAGCAAAGGAGGCTTGAGCTCTTATAGAGTGAGCCGTGAGGGGAGGAGCTGGGATCCCTGCATAGCATTCCCTAATACATGATCCAGGGGAGATCCTTTTGCACAGAGTCCGGCTGACCTTTCAGCCGCTCTGCAATGGCAACAAAGAGCTGAGGCAACTTGCGGAAGGGCTTCATTCTCTCTAAACAAAAGGCTAAAGCCCTCCTACCAGCCAAAGTGTGTAATGCCTGTTCTTTACCCGATGCATGAGCCTTGGGTTAAAAGACTGACAGGAAAATGTCCTGAGACACATGGAAGTTTGACACCATCTTCCCTGCAGGAAGGCAGGGTTGGGAGGCACAACCTGACTTTGTCCTTGAAGAAAACTGTATTGGGGGGGAGGGTCCAAAGTGAGAGCCCTCAGCTCAGACATGTGCCTGGCCAACGTGATGACCACCGCAGGCATACCTTGTAGGACAGATGTAGCAACAAGCACATTGCCAAGGGTTCAAATGGAGGTCCCAAGAGTTTAGACAGGACCAAGTTAAGACCCCACTGGGGAACAGGCTGCTGAACATGCGGATAAAGCCTGTTTACCATCTGGTCTGCAAAGAGGGTCTTAAACCCCTGGCACCTGGGTGAAAAGCAGAGATAGCCGCTAGGTGAACCTTAATCAAGGAGGAGGATAACATCTGGAGCCTAAGATCTAGAAGATAGTCCAAGACCAGGGGAACTGGGGTGTCCATAGGAGACACCCGCCTCTGGGTAGATCAGATATAAAACTGTTTCCACTTAGCCAGATAAGTAGCCCTAGTGGAAGGTTTCTTGCTCCCCAGCAACACCTCTTGCACACAGGCCAAACACTGAAGCTCCACCGCTGTCAGCCATGGAGCTTCCAGGCTATGAGGTGCAGTGACCACAGGTCCGGGTGGCAAAGTCTGCCAAAGTCCTGCATGATCAGGTCGGGGACTAGTGGGAGCATCACTGACCTTTTGCATGACAGGCTCAGGAGGGTGGAAAACCAGTGCTGCCTGGGCCAAGCAGGTGTGATGAGAATCAGGGATGCCCTGAATTCCCGCACCCACAGGAGCACCTGGTGGATCAGTAGGAATATGTACAACAGACCCTCGGGCCAGGAAATTAGTAATGCATCTCCCAGAGAGCCCCTTCCCAGACTCATGAGGGAACAGAACCCTGAGCACTTCCTGTTCTGGTGCATGGCAAACAGGTCCAGATGGGAAACCCCCACCTGCAAAAGATGTCCAGGGCTACATCCCCCCTGAGGGTCCACTTGTGGCCAGAGAAGGACCTACTCAGCTGGTCTGCTAGAGTACTCTGGAAGCCTGGGAGATAGGAGGCAAATGAGTGAATATCCACCCTGATGAAGAGATCCTACAGGTGAAGGGCCTCCTGACACAGGTGAGGAGAGTGGGCCCCTCCCTATCTGTTGATGTATGAAACCATGACATGTTGTCAGACAGAATGAGGACCGACTTGCCCCTGAGCCAGGGGAGGAAAGCCACACAGGTGAGGCGGACCACTCGCAGCTCCCTGACATTGATGCACAGGGAGAGATCGTCCTTTAACCACTTACCTTGCATCCACATGTCTCCGAGATGGGTCCCCCAACCGGTGTCTGACATATCTGTCACGAGCTGGAGGGTCGTTAGAGGCCTAGAGAATGGGGCTCGGCACAGACCTCCTTCTCCCGGGTCCACCAGTCGGGGGAACTGTCACCACTGTGTCCCACGCATTAAAGGACAGGTTGTGAGTCTGTGCCAGCCACATCTGCAGTGGGCACGTGCGGAGCTTGGCGCGCTGTATAATGTAGGTGCACGCAGCTATTAGGCCCAAAAGGTGCATGCAGGCCCTGGCCATGGTTATTGGGAACGTCTGCATGTCCCAGACAGTCAACTTGATTGCCAGGAAGCAGGATCTGGGAAGGGAGGACTTTGCCGCCATTGAGTCCAGATTGGCTCCCAAAAACTCTGTTACTGGGGTAGGAACCAGGGTCAATTTGGGCACAGTCAGGAGCAGACCCAGCTCCCAGAAGTATTCTTGAACCCCGGTGATGTGGGCGCATACCTGGTTGGCGGAGTGCCCCTGGAGGAGCTAGTTGTCCAGGTATGGGAACACCTGGATGCCTTGTTTTCTGAGAGCGGCAGAAACGACGGCCATGCACTTTGTGAATACCAGGGGGAGGGTGGAATGGAAAGCCCAACAAGGAGGGCCATAAACTGATAGTGGTCCCTTCAGAGGAACAAATGGTGGGTGGGGCACAATAGAAATATGAAAATACGCATCTTTTAGATTGAGGGCAGCGTACCAGTCTCCGGGGGCTAGGAAAGGAATGATAGATGCCAGAGTCACATCTTGAATTTCATCTTGATGATGAAGGCGTTGAGATCTCGGAGGTCCAGGATAGGACAAAACCCACCCTTGGCTTTGGGGACCAGGAAATACCAGGAATAGAAGCCTCTGTCTGACACCCCCTGGGGAACCACCTCTGTGGCCCCCAGGGTGAGGAGCTGAAGCACCTCCTCCCGCAGGAGAAGCTTGAGGGGGGCCCCTGAAGAGATTCAGGGCAGGGGAATGGGAGGGAGGGGGAGAACTGAATGGGATGACATACCTCCTTCCCACCGTTTCTAGGATCCAACGGTCCAGGGTAATAGATTCCCAGGCCTGGTGGAAAAGGAATAGACAGTCCCAGAAGGAGAGGGGCAAGGCTGGTAGGCTGTCCTTGGGCGTACCCTCAAAACCCTTGACAGGGTCCCAAGGACTTACTAGGCGGGCCCTGACTCTGGTCCTGGGTCAACTGGAAATGGTGTCTGCCATTCCTCCTGTTGCCAATGCTGTTCCGGTGACAGAAGTCAGGGCATGTACCCTGCTGGGAAGACCTAGGAGAGTTCCTGCCTGGGTAACCGGAGTGTGTGAAGACTTTAAGGCAACCCGTGTATCTTTGAGGCTGTGCAGACGTTGGTCTGTTTGCTCAGAGAATAAGGACAGGCCTTCAAAGGGGTCCTATATTGTGTTCTGTAGTTCAGGAGGCACTCTGGACCCTTGCAAAAAGGCACTGCGGTGCATAACCAGCCCTGTGGCCATGGCACATGCAGCCATGTCAGCTGCATTGAGGGCAGCCTGGAGCGTAACCCTATAGATCATCCTGCCTTCCTCTGAGAGGGCTCTAAACTCGGGCCGAGAGTCCCTGGGGAGTAGCTCTGTGAACTTATCCATGGAGGCCCAGGTGTTATAGGCATAGCAAGACAGCAGAACCTGCTGGTTTGCTATGCAAAATTGGAGGCCTCCCGATGCATAAGCCTTTCTGCCTAACAGGTCCATTTTTGGGGTTAGCGCCCAGTTGGCTCTGCCTCTCCCTTTGGTTCACCACCTGGACAACCAGGCACCCTGGAAGTGGATGGGAGAAGA